TTTTTTTTTTTTTTTTTTTTAATTTTGAGATCTAGTCTCACTAAATTGCCTGGGCTACCCTTGAACTGGCAACCCTCCTGCCTCAATCTCCTGAATAGTTGGGATTACAGGCATGTGCCATCTGTCCTCCGATAGTGTTCTTTGAGGTACAAAATTTTAATTTTGGTATAATCCAGTTTATCCTTTTTTTGTTGTTGCCTGTACTTTTGGTATAGTATCCAAGCATTCATTTCTAAATTCAAGTCATGAAGCTTTCTTGTTTTCTTCCAAGACTTAGGTTTAAGCTCTTACATTTAGGTCTTTGATCCATTGAATTATGTGTTGGTTTAAGTAAACAATATGACTTCATCCTTTTGCATGTGGATATTCAGTTTTCCCAATATATAATTTCCCAGTATAGATACTGGGAAAAGACTATCTAACCTATTGCATTGTTATGGCATTGTTAAAAATCATTTGACCACATATGTGAGGGTTTATTTCTGGGTTCTTTGTTATTTCATCGTGCTACATGTCTCTATGCAAGTGCCATGTTGTTTTGATTGCTGCTGCTTTGAATTAAGTAATAAGTTCTGAAATCAAGAAATGTGCCCTCCCAGCTTTGTTCTTTTTCAACTATTTTGGCTATTCTGGTTCTCTTGAGATTCCATCTTAATTTTGGGTTTTTTTTTTCTATTTATGCAAAAAACATCATTGGAATTTTGATAGTTGCTTTGAATCTGTAAATCATCATGGGTAGTGTCGACAAATTAACACTATTAAGTTTTCCAATCCATGAACACAGATGTCATTTCATTTGTCTGACTTTATTTTTTTTCAGCAATGTTGTGTAATCTTCAGTGTACAAGTCTTTTGCCTCCTTGGTTATTTCTATATATTTTATTTATTTTGATGCTACTGTAAATGGAATTGTTTCCTATTTGTTTATTGTTAGCATATAAGAAGTGCAACTGATTTTTTTTTTTTTTTTGGTGTGTATGTGTGTGTGTGTTGCCAGGGATTGAACCCAGGGCCTTGTACATACAAGGCAAGCACTCTACCAACTGAACTATATCCCCAGCCCTGTGCAACTGATTTTTACAGATTGATTTTTTATCAGTAACTTGGTTGAATTTACTAGTCTAAGTTTTTGTGAGAGTACTTTGATTTTTAAATACAGAAAAATTGTGGCTTCTGGACAAATTCATCACTAACTTGTTCCAGTTTATGGAACTTTTGACAAGGAATACCTAAAAGATGGGAAAATTTTACAAAAAAAAAAAGTGTCAAGATCAAATCATGGAAACTATAAGATTTTTTCCCAATACTGTCATCAAAAATCCTGTGCAATAGAGCACATACTTGGTATTCATGAGACCCTAGGTTTGATCCCCAGTACCTGTGGGGGTGGGTATCCTCTTGAAGATATACCAAAAAAAAAAAAAATCAAATTATTAACTTTATAAAGTTAATAAAATATTTAACTTTATTAAATCCAGGAGTGTTCTGGGATTACAGTATCCACCTCCACAGCCAGCTGTGGACAATTTAATTCGATGAGGATGTTTGAGTAAAGGCTATGTACACATAATTTTTATTTCAATACATATTCGTTAGGCTGGGGGTAGCTCAGTGGTAGAACTCTTACCCAGCATGCATAGGGCCCTGGGCTTGATTCCAAGTACTGCATAAATAAAAATTAAAAACTAAAAAAAGGGGCTGTGACTATAGCTCAGTTATAGAGCGCTTGCCTAGTACATGTGAGGCACTGGGTTCAGTCCTCAGTACCACATAAAAATAAACAAATAAAATGAAGGCATGCTGTCTATCTACAACTATAGAAATTTTGTTGTTGTTGTTGAACAGAATGGGGGAAGATACCAAGAATTTAGACTCTAATTTGATGGCTTTAGATTAGAATCCTAGTTATCCCACAGATAGTTGTTCTAACCTTTGGCAACTTCCCTAAACCATTTCTGACGCTTTTTAAAATTGGGAAAATAATATCTGCCCTCTGGGTTTGAGAATTAAATAATTTTGTATCAATAGTAAGTAGTCAACAGTGTTAGTTATTATGATTTTGAGTAGACTCTATGTTGGGCACTATGCTGAATGCTGGGGATAAAAATTGTTTGACTCAACATTTGCCAAGATGCTAATGATCTAGATGAAGAAGTGTAAATAATGTAAAATAATCTTAATATTGTACTATATATAATGTTGGAAATATAAGGCTATGATATGGTCAGATATCAATTAGATAGCTGGGCTCCTGTGTAGGGGAGAAGGAGTGAATCATAAACAGGACTAATAAGGAGACTATAATAATCCAGGCAAACTCTATATGGCATAACAATACAGGTTGGGCTGAGAATGTAGCTTTGCTGTGCCTATGGCCATAAGCTTCAGGAAAAAAACTTTTTGTCACAGCTTAGAAGGTAACACACTTTAATCATCTTTTGTCTTCCCCTTAGTCAAGCAACTCTGAATCTTAGGTATCATTTTACAAAGGAAACTAAGGCTCAAGAGCAAGGTCACTGCTGCACATTATTCATATTGTAGTATATGAAAATGTTACTCTGAACATAGTATGAATGATGGCTCTTAAGAGTTGTACATTGCAGTAGCCCTATTGAAGAAGCTATAGGTAGGTAGTGAAGCTGATCTCTATCTTTAAACCTATGCTTTTCCCTGCCATACCATTTTCTTTCTTATATATATATTTTTTTGGGGGGGTACCAAGGGTTGAACTTAGGCACTTAACATTAAGCCACATCCACAGACCTTTTTTAATATTTTCTCTAGAGACAGGGTCTCACTGAGTTGCTGAGGACCTCACTAGGTTGTTGAGGCTGGCTTTGAGCTTGTGATCCTCCTGTCTCACCCTCTAGAGCTGGTGGGATTACAGGCGTGCATCATAGTGCTCAGCATAATATCTTACTTATGGGTTTATAACATACTCGGGTCTAAACATGCAGTTAAAATAAAGAAACAAATCGGACCCTACATAAAGGTTTTTCACAGAAACCTGGTAGGCTTCTTAAAATGAATTTAATAGAATTCTGAAAGTATTAGTTACTTAACAATAAATTGAAGTACTTGATGTATTCTTAAGATCAATGCTTAATATGGAAAATGATGATAAAATAAGGGATCAACCATTCATTTTCAGCTTCCCTAAAATACATGAGCTTTACAAAAAAACTTAAAGACTAGCCATAAAAATTAAGATAAAGAATCAATTTTAGGGCTGGGGATGTGGCTCAAGCGGTAGCGCGCTCGCCTGGCATACGTGCGACCCGGGTTCAATCCTCAGCACCACATACCAACAAAGATGTTGTGTCCGCCGAGAACCAAAAAATAAATATTAAAAATTCAAAAAAAAAAAAAAAGAATCAATTTTACATACATATTTCTTAAATTATCCCAAAAATTTAAGGCCAATTTCCCTACTATGTGTATCATATTTATGCCAAGAACACTAAAATTTACTAAAGTTTCATCCATACTTTTATTCTTAAGTTCTATGCCTACAATATTGTTGTTTATTTTTAATGTGGTGCCGGGGACAGAACCCAGTGCCTCACGCATGCTAGGCAAGTGTTCTACCACTGGGCCACATCCCTGGCCAACTATGCCTACATACTCTGAAAGCAGAAACATTTTTGGGCATTGAGAATTTCAAAATGAAAAAAGAGTAAGAAGATTGTATAGTTTTATAAGTACTGATGAATACATCTTTGAACAGATTCCCTCCTAGAGAATTTTCAGTGATTCACAGAACTGCAAAAGCAGAAAAAACTTTACATTTAGAAATATTTCATTTGACTGATGAATTTCAGAGTATTTCAGTGACCTGTCCAAGGTCACATAATTAATGCAAGTCTGGACCAGAACACAAATCCCCTGACTTCTAGATGTCTATCTCCATTTGCTTTACAGCTTATCTTCTTATCTCCCTAACCACTTGAAGTGGTCCCCCTAACTCTCTCTGCTCCACAACATGCCTCTTTGGGGCAATATAAGAGGAACAGAATTCTCAACTCTGTAGATCATGTATCACTATTGACCGAACAATGGATGAGACATTATTTCAAGCACTACTTGAGTACATTTCATTTGGGAGTAGGGAGTAGAAGAGAAATACAAAAGAAGAAAATTCTGTAGACAACAATAAGAGAGGCACAAGAGGAAATATTTTCTTCCTTTGTATTGTTATTTTATTTTGTTAAGTCCATATATTATATAAAAACATAACAGGAAAAAATGAACAAATTTATAAAATAAATTGAGGTGTCCAGATTAAAAAAAAAAAAACACAAAAGCTTTGCCTTCACGTCTACTGATCTCTCAATATATCGTTGGTCTTGCACTTTAGATATCAAATAAAGATATCCAACTTGAAACAAAAATTGGTATGCTGCAAGGATAAGCTGTAGTTAGTTTGGTGATGGGCCAGGAAATGACAGATTTTCTAAATCTTATCTTAAAATATTGACTATCAAATGCTGGTATGCAAAATGCAAGCTTTTATCAGACAGCAAGAGGGAAACTTGAGCGAATGAATGCAACTTACCTCCAAGTCCTCTGAAAGGAGGTAAAAAAAAATAAATAATTACTGTTTTTTATCAGTGCTCCCCCCAAAGCATTATTCAAAGCATGCAGGAGGGTGTTCTGAGCAGCTACAGTAAGATCCAACCCAGAGGTAGGTTCAAGGCCAAGAGTGGAGAGTGATTGAAGGAATCCTCCCCAGGCCTGTACCATATCTCAGAATGCCCATTTGTGCTGGGGGATGAAGTCCATGGCCTATTTTCTTCTCATTCAAAAGGACTTTCCCATTTCAACCTTACTGAAAAAAAGCTTTTTCACACCTGCTATTAGAACAGTTAGGATTCAGGACAAGGCCAGTAAAAAATTATTTAGCAAGCACATGCTGGCTATTCCAGTTTGAAATCTAACAAACTGTAAATTTAAGGGAGAATAAAAAGGTGAAGATAGAGCTGTTATTCCTTAAGATGAGGGAACAAAACCTTAGAAAAAGAGGGATTAGGCACTCAACTCTACATGGAGAACCTCCTTCTCAAGCTAGGTACAAGATGAGGAAGAGTATTACCAAAGGTCGAACAGACCATTTAAAGAGCAAAAGGAGAGAGGGAAAAAAAGCAGTTATACAGAAAGCTGGTAAAAGAAATTCTTCTGGGTCTGACTAGGTAAGTGAATCTAAGGCAGTTGCACCAAAGATATGCAGTATTATTCCAGCATGAAGCTGGTGGCAAAAAAAAAAAAATCTCAAAAACATTTTAAACCCAGAGAAATATATGAAAAATATGATCGTTTACCAAGCAAGTTAAAACCAAATCTCCAATGGTAAAAAACTCTCTTCAGATCTGAAATCAAAGAATTCACTTTACATTAATTCTGTGCATAATTAGAAAAAAAAAAAAGGTAACGAATGTAAAGATTTGTTTTATTTCTACTGGGGGAAGGAAGAGGATAAATAGAACTGTTTTCCAATTTCTTCTCCACTGTATACACACATACCCACACGCATACATAATACATACATACACCAAAAATACCCCCCCCAAAACAAAACAAAAAACCAAGAAGTAAAAACCAAAACACCCTCAAACTGCACCAATACTTCATATTTGACCAAAAGAATAGATCCTGGGAAGAAGTGCAAAATGCAAAATCAAATGACTGAAAAATGCTGAAGAAACAGCATTATTAATATACAAAATATTTATATTACTGAACTAGTAACACGTGATGTTCTCTGTGTCTGTAAAACTTTGGAACCACATAGCTGATTTGTTAAATCTAGTCCATGCCAGCTTCAAAATGCCAAAAAAAATTTTAGTTAGCTTCATTCTTTGATGCTTCATCAAAATTTTCTACGAGATCTGGAAAAAACAACAAAAATGAGTTAAGGCGGGGGAATTCTAAGCTAAATAAAATTGCTGCAACTATAATTAGTTTGAAAACATAGAACAGGCAGAAATGAACATTTCACTAATAATGATTCGTTTATCTGCTTAAAACAGTAATCTTAAGGATATATATATATGTCTTAGCAAACTACTAAGGTGAGTAGTGTTTTCACATGTCAATTATAATTACCACATTAACTATGCAGATTTATAATCAGTGATTTCAATTTAATAAATTCAGTTAGCAGAGCTTTGTGTGACAATTTCTAAGTTCTACAAGAGAGTGCTTTTATTCTTTTTCACTAATCTATTCACATCATTCTGACCAATTTAAATTCAGAGATCACAATAAATAAAATTTTGAAAGTCATCTTGAAAATTTCACTTACCTGGAACATCATCATCCTCTTCATCAATGTCTTCCGGTTTTGGTGCTTTACTGTCCAACACTATAAAAAGTTTATTTTAATATTAGTTATTAAGAACAAAGACCTTTATAAAACACTTGTAATATTTATCCTTTTTTTTCAAGTCTAAATTTCACATAGTTGCTCAGAAAAATATTTTATATATATCTTAATCCATTAATGGATTAAAATCCATTCATGCTAGGTATGGTGGTGCATGCCCATAATTCAAGCAACTCAGAAAGCTGACATAGAAAGACTGCAACTTTGAGGGTATTCTCAGCAACTTAGTGAGATCCTGTCTAAAAATAAAAAAATAAAAAGGGCTAGTGATGAAGCTCAGTGCTAGAGGGCTAGGGCAGGGGCTGGGGGGTACACAGGGGTTCAATCCCCAGTACTGGAGGGATTTTTTTTGCTTAAGTAACATTAAAATCAATAAAACTTTAACAATTAGATATTCTCTCAATACAGTTGGCAACATTTATATGCAGCAAAGATAAAATTTATATTCAAATGGAATAATTCAGATATGAATAAACATAAATTACAGTCAGTCACAGTGGCCATATTCTCAAAATAAAAATTAATAGTCAAGATTTCTTCCAAAAACTTACTAGAAAGTAAGTTTCTATCTACATAGTATGTATACAAATTACAGAGCCCTTTGATTTTTGGGGGCAACAAGACACATTTGAACTCTAGATTACCTTAGAAATACAGAATTTATGGTTACCATAGTGCAATCAACAACACTGTCTGAATATTCTATATACCATATTACATTGATTATTAAAGAAACAAAATCAAACTTTTATGAAGCATACAAATGATGTTATAAAAGGTAAAATAATTACATACTGAGGCAAATCCTCTCAGTTGAAGATGGGACACCATTTATATTATTAGGTTCCTTAATTAAGGTAGAGAGTGAAAGAAGTAAACTGAAATACCTACCTTGCCGTGGGAACTGTTCAGCTAACTTTCTAAGGCTCGTTAAGCTGTCAGCACCAAGCTGACTTAATATTCCAGGAAGCATTTCTGTGATTGGTTTGGCTTCTGCATGACCAGTAATTGCGAAGGTATTGGCAGACAGGGAAGCTTGGACTTTGGGATTGTTGAAATGAATAACTGTCCCATCATCTTTAATCATGTTCACCTGCATGACCACAGGAAAAATGTATTTCACATGCTAGGTACAACTAAAACAATATCTTTTAAAAAAGCATTTTATCCAGTTCTGATTTTTTTTACTTAGCAGGTATGCAATCTCAAGGTAGTGATTAGCTATAGTGAACACGAATGAAGAAAGACCCTAGCAATAAAGTACAATGATGTGGATAATACAAGTTGCTAGTATGGTCAAGAAATAGTCATTTTATTATAGCATCTAGATTTCCAATTCAGACTTCTATGAGAAGAAAAGTTCATACTACCATTAAAAAAAAATTATCAACCAAAAACTGGCTTGTTAATGAAACCCTTTACCTTACTCAATTTACATTATCAAACACATTATGTGCAATTACCACTTGGTGAGACAGTATCTTACTTTGGAGACAGACTGTAAAGGGGAGACAGCATATGGTAAATAACTACTGAAAACTCACACACACAAAAAAAAAAAGCACTCTAAAATTTAATCAACTAGATATTTCACTCTTTCGAATGCTTAGTAAATTTACAAAAATTTCCACTTGTCAGGACACAAAATCAATAGCTTTCCTATATAATAATAACAGATTCATTATTATTATAAGAAAATCTCATTCACAATAGCTAAAAAGAAAAAAGAAAAGTGGGGATGGGAGAAATGAAAGTCTTGGAATAAATCTAACCAAGGAAAAGACCTCTACAATAAAAAAATTATAGAACACTGAAGAAAGAAGTTAAAGACAACACTAGGAGACGGAAAGACTTCCCATGTTCACAGACAAGGAGAACTAACAATGTTAAAATGGCCATGTTATCAAAAGTGATAGATTCAATGCAATGCAATACCCATCAAAATACCAATCATATTCTTTACAGAACTAGAAAAATTCATTTGGAAGAATAATAAGATTCAAAATAGCCAAAGCAATTCTAAGGGAAAAGAAAAGCAAGGCTGGAGGCATCATAATACTCAACCTCAAATTATACTACAGATAATAGTATGGTACTGGCATAAAACAAGACACACAGACTAATGAAACAGAATAGAAGACACAGGGAAAAACCTACAGAGAAACAGTCACTGAATTTTTGACAAAGGTGCCAAAAGTATACACTGGATAAAAGATAGTSTTTTAAATAAATGATGCTGAGAAAACTAGTTATCCATACGTAGAAGAATGAGACTAGATTACCCTCTCTCACTCTGAACAAAGGTCAAATCAAAATGGATCAAAAGCTTATTAGCAACTTAGGGCTGTAGCTGTGGCTCATTGGTAGCGCACTTGCCTGGCACGAGTGAGGCACTAGGTTTGATTCTCAGTACCGCATATAAATGAATGAATGAATGAATATCAACAACTAAAACAAAACAAAACAACAACAACAACAACAACAACAAAACCTTAGCAACTTAGCAAAGACTTTGCAACTGCTAGAAAAAAAATGTAGGATCAATACTCAACATATAGGCATAGTCAATGTCTTTCTCAATAGGACTCGTAAAGCTCAGAAAATAATACTGAGAATTAATAAATGTGATAGTATCAAATTAAAAAACTTCAGCACAGCAAAGGAAAGAAGAAATTCTTCTGATAGAGGATTAATACCTAGTATATATAAAGAACTCAAAAAACTTAACACCAAAACCCAAATAACTCAATCAATAAATGGGTAAATAAACCAAACAGAAACAACTCAAAAGAAGAAATACAAATGGCCAATAAATACATGAAAAAAATCTTCAATATCTTCTGCAATTATGGAAATGCAAATCAAAACTATACTGAGAGTTCATCTCACTCCAGTTAGAATGTCAGTCATCAAGAACACAAATAATAATAAATGCTAGACAAGTTGTAGGGGAAAAGGAACACTTKTACACTGTTGTTGGGACTGTAAATTATATAACCACTATGGAAATTAGTATGGAGGTTCCTCAAAAGACTAGAAAGGTAACCACCATATGACCCAGCTACACCACCCCTCAGTATTTATCCTAAAGAACTGAAGTCAGCATACTATAGTGATACATGCATACCCATGTTTACAGCAGCTCAATTCACAACAGCAAAAACAACAACAACAACAAAAAAAACTATAGAACCAGCCTAGGTTCCCATCCGTAGAGAATGGATTAAAAAACGTGATATACAAACATACATACACACATATATGACATATTCAGTCATAATGAATGAAACTATGTTATCTGAAGGAAAATGAATAGAAGTTGAGAACATTAAGAGAAATAAGCAAAACTCCAAAAGTCAAGGGTTGTGCATTTTTTTTGTATGTGGAAGCTTTAGAGGAAAAAGGGCAAAAAAGGGGGAGGAGTCTCATTAAAACAGAAGGAAAACCAGAAGAGACCAGGGGTAGAAAAGAAGGTAAAGAAAGGGGAAAAACTGGGGAATGATACTGATGAAATTATATTGTTATATCCATGTGCATGTACAAATATTCCACTATTATGTGTAATTACTATGCACCAATAAAAAATATAGAAAAAAATTTGACCTGTTTTTATCATTTTTTAATACCTTTATTTATTTTTACATGGTGCTGAGGATTGAACCTAGCATCTTGCATGTGCTAGGCAAGCACTCTACCACTGAGTCACAACCCCAGACCCTATCATATCATTCTTTATAAGGGATTTTGTCAGTTCCTCTAGTTCTTTTTTAAAATTAGAAAGGGGACTAATTTGGACTCAGGTGATCCTTCTACCTCAGCATCCCAAACAGCTGGGACTATAGGTACATGCTTCTATATCTGACTAGTTCCAATTTTTTTTTTTTTCTTGCAGTACTAGAGACTGAACCTAGGACTTTGCACATTCTAGGCAAGTACTGTATCACTGAGCTACATCCCAAGCTTTATTTATTTTATTAAAAATTTATTTTTCTTAAAAAACAAAAAARCAGGCTCCTACTTAGTTACTGAAGCTGGTCTTAATCTTGTGATTCTCTTGCTTCAGCCTCCCAAGGAGCCAGGATTACAGGTATGTGCAACCATACCCAGCTAGTTCCTCTAATTCTTTTTTTGTCAGTGTTGTTCTTGTTKTTCCTTTTTTCTTTGTGCTATTGGGGACTGAACCCAGTGCTAGGCAAGCACTCTACCACTGAGCTACATCCCCAGCTCTAGTTCCGCTAATTCTTTTTTCTTTTTTTTTTAATATTTTTTTTAGTTGTAGTTGAACACAATACTTTTATTTTATTTATTTATTTTTATGTGGTGCTGAGGATCAAACCCAGGGTCTCGCACATGTGAGGTGAGTGCACTACTGCTGAGCTAAAACCCCAGACCACCTCTAATTCTTAAATGTAGCTTCTCAACAACTTTTGACAACCTCTGTAAACATCAAATTTCCCACCCACCTGCCTACCTGAACATCCTTTATCAATGACTAGGAAATCTTTAAAATCATTCTGACATTATTTATGTAGCTTTTACCAGTTTGAACTGATAATTTCAAATTTTACTTGCTCTGGGACTTAGCTGAAAAAGAAGGTTGAACATGTGCTACTTAAATTAACATTTTTCTATCTTACTAGTACTTTCTAGATTTTTTTTTTTTTGTACAGTGAATCTCTATACAAAGTTTAATGTGTAAATAATGTGATTCCATCACATAGTTGATTCCACTGGATAAGCTACCTTGGTAGTAACATGCTTATTTTATAAAAAATTTAAGAGAGTTAACTCTTGTCTACTTTAGAAGCATTTCATGATCCATCCAAAAACTGCCCTTTTCACAATCAAGAAGAGATGCTGAATGTTCTCCATAATCAGTGGGAAGGGGCTTTTCTTCCTCAGAGGTGATCAACACCACTGATAGCATCAGAAAAGAAGGGGAAGAAAGGGACTTCTATATTTCAGGCAAGACCTGGAACACAGAGAAAATAAAGGCAAATCTCTGGAAAATTATAACTAAATCTCACAAATAATTTTCCATTTTTTTTCTAACAAAAATTCCCCCCCCCACTATTTCATTTTTGTACCCTTCCATCTTAGTACTGTATTTAAAGTTCTATCATGGGTACAATACACAGCAAGCATTCAATCCTGCTGTTCTAAACAAATGACATCGYGACATAATTTATATGAACTTTAGAAAAAAAATAATTACATAATTTTGAAGATACTTTAGTATTGGTAGAAAAAGCAAATAAATGTTCAAGTGGTCAAGAAGCTTTAGAAAGAAGTGACATAGTAGATGTGAAATATGATGTTAATTTAGATCTATCTTAGAATCACATACTTTTAATACAGTAGGACTATATTTTCCAAATTCTACACCAATTACATGGTTTAATAAAGAGTTTCTACAATACTTCCAGGTGTGAAGAGTCTCAAAAACTGGGAGTTCAGACTTTTTTTTTTTTTTTTTTTTTTTACTTACAGATATAAAGTCACAGGACATTTGAAATTGTTGTTCAAAAAATTCATGCTAGGGCTGGGTTGTAGCTCAGTGATAGAGCGCTTGCCTTGCAAGTGTGAGGCACTGGGTTCAATCTTCAGCACCATATAAAGATAAATAAATAAAAATATTGTGTCCATCTTCAACTAAAAAAATTTTTTTAAATTCACATTATATGTATTTTTTGAACTTTGAAATCTTCCCATTCAAATCCTTTCTATTAAAGAAATAAATATTGAAATAACACCTATTGAGTAAGCAACATATCTAAGAATAAATAGCTGTTTAAGTGCAAACTGAGTACTTGAATGGAACTTAGGCTTCTCTGCTTGTTTAGTTTCCTTCCTACTATGTTACCTCATGCTTAAAACATTTATTTGCTCATAAAAAGTCAACTCCATGGCTCCATGTAAGTCTAACAGAGAATTATTTATCTCAGAATATAGGCCAAATGGAGATAAAAGAAAAACAGCACAGATAAATGGATAATATCTCTCCCGCTACAAAATAAGATGACAATATAAGGTCAAAAACAATACATTTGCTGAGTGCAGTGTTGCACGCCTGTAATCCCAACGGCTCAAGAG